TTCCGAATGCCAGGAAGTATTCTTGCCTCGCTTCTGAAGCAAGTGACTCGGAAGACATGTGCTACCAAGCAAGCGTACTCGCGATTGAGAAACACCCTATGTGTCCTGTTGCCTTACTGCTTGGGCTGCTCCAGAGCCACTATTTCAAGGATGCTACTTCACCGAGTCCCGCCGAAGGACTGTTCCAATGTCCAGGATGCTTGGAATCCTACCGAGGCCGGCGTCCTTTGTTTGCGGGAAATTTCGAGGCTGCACATGTGTATCCTCCGCGGTCTTAAAATCCCCACAATGCTTTGCGCACGGACCAATTTCCAAAATCTTTGGCGGAAAATGTAAGGCAGGGCCTCTCATATGACGCACACTTGCTAGCCTGTTCCATTCTTCGTTCTCCGAATGCCAGGAAGCATTCTTGCCTAGCCTCTAATCGACCTGACTCGGAAGACATGTCTTACCAAGGAAGCGTCCTCTCCATTGAGCTCATATTTAGACCCAATGCTGATACCATCACATGGTCTTTATCAGATTAAGAGGTAAATGTGGTTGTGTTTACCTCTCCGTACAATGTTCAAAGGACTAAATATATCCACCCGAGTGTGTCTATGACTGAACTTCACTAAACAGCTGTTTCTCTTAACATTTCAGAAGGATTTCTCTGTAATATATTTGATTATAGTAGTCATCTGATGCAGGGCTTTCCCCTTTTTACGGTAATTGATTAGTAGTTGTAAGAATTCTGTCACGTAATCATGCGGTAGTTGGGAAGTACAACACATGCAGCCTCCAAGCTGGCATTCACTTCCATGTTTACAAAAACTGTAGGGGTTTCCAGCTTTGTTTTGTAAGATTGCACTAAGAATATTAAAGGGGCCCTATTATGCTTTTTGTAGTTTTCCATTTCGTGTGGTGTGTTATATAGGTTTTTGTGCATGTAAATGGTCTGCAAAGGCTAACATCCCAAAGTTCACCCCAGGGGGAATTTCTCTTCCACACTACCCCTCTGCCTGAAATGCCTCCATTGGTCTCCTTTGTTTACTTCTGTAACAAAATGACATCACTAAGTAACACTTGTGCTTCTATTATAGCGCTCCAACACATTGTACGTGATAGGCTAAGTGACGGGACATTTCTAACAAATCTCCAAGCAGTTAAGCAATCACAACAGAGCCAGCTAACCAATCAGAGCAGACTGGGCTCTGGTTTCAGACAGAGGGTGAAAAGAGGTGCTGCAGCACAGGCAGTATGAGAAGAATAAAGAGCTTTTTGAACATTGAAGCATGGAGACATGTCACAGTAGAGGCACAAAACATATGAAGCTAAAAATGAGCATAATGTGTCCTCTTTATGTTACAGGGGTCACTCAAAGGTCCAGTTCCTGTACTTGCGTAAACAGAAACTAAGCGTCGATACTGAGGCAGAGACTCGATTAAATGTATTTCCCTGTTTTTATTTTGGCTCGAAAGAAGACTTTCCCCTGACCTCTGTGACTCACTTCCTCCTCTCAGCAGCAGCCCGACAGGAGGCCAGGACACATTCTATGATCAGTCACATCAATGTCACAGGTGTTGTTACTGCTGGCAACAACTGCAGCTTCACCTCCAGGAAGTCCTCTGCAGTGTGGGGGGGGGGGGGGGGGGGGGGGGTCGACCTAAAGGCTTAAACACACCAAGGGATGAACTCAGGTGTGATTTTGAAGGTCGATGCTAATGTCACAAGCAGTTAAGTTTCTTGTAACTGGCAGTGATAGTCTAGTAGAACAGGACACACCTTGTAAACTAAGAAGTTATGCTGTTGTCACGCATCTATAATCATAATCAGAATCAGAATAACTTTATTAGTCCCACAGAGGGGACATTTATGTCACAGACAGCTTAATGTTACATATGTTACATGTTACATGCATTAAAAAGTACTGAGTTATGATATAATGAAAAATATAATAAAAAATAAAAAGTTACATAATTTTCAAAATACACATCCTGTAACAGTTCTTAGGATTTATCAGCCAGGTATATATAGCACATATTGCACATAGTTGGTTGGTATTTAACAGCAAGGGGTGTTATAGATCCTAGCCACACGGAGACAGTAACGAAAACGAACCGAATTCGATATCAAAAAAGTCTTCCGTCCACACGCAATCGGCACCAGAAACGTGTCCGTCCACACGAGACCGCTCGACCCGCTGGAGACGCTGTAGTAGATATGCCGGGCCTGTATGTGGCGCTGTACTTCCGCCACAAAATACACCAAAAGCAGCGAAGAAGACTTCACGAGCATGCATGGTTGCCCTTCTGTTTATTCTCCGCGGTGGATTTAGCAGCAGAGGTGGGGAGAGGCAGGGGCCAGGGCTCTGGCTCTTTTTCTCCCTCCCCGAGGCAAGCGTGTACTCCTGCTGTAAATCTCCCCGGTAGTACACCAGCTGATGAAAAACACCCACATCTCCGCCTCTTCCAAGGGACGAGGGAACCGTGCGGAGTTTCCGTTAGAATTTGTTTCCGCCGGTCAACATGTCCGTTAAAGTTTAAATCTTCCGGTCAAAATTAGAAAAGTGCCGGTCAAAGGTCTTCTTTGTTATGTATTGAGCTTTAAAACAAACGAATAACGACTCTATATAATAATATATACCCGTATCGTCTCTGTGTGGCTGCAGCCTATAGTCTGTGTTGTGGTGTGTGTGTGTGTGTGTGGGGGGGGGGGGTTCTACAGTCAGTTTAAGTACAGAAATGTCAAATAATAAAGGCTGTGGTATAGTACAGTGGTTTCCAGCATATGGGTCTGGCCCCTCTAAAGGGTCACAAGATTAATGTGAGAGGTCGCACATTAATCTTGATAAATGTTTTAAATTCAAGTTTTAGTGGATTAGTTGTTATTGCATATGGGGAACAGTCGTTTTTCAATTAAATTCTTCGATTTCAGACTCCCGTGAACAATAAGAAAAAAGAAAAATGTAAGTAAAATTGTGAACCTCTACGATTTAAAGTACTTAATGCATAGGTTAAAATATTTTTGTTTGGGATAAAATATACATATAAAATATAATAATATATAATAGGATTAAAAACCAACCCGTGAAACAGGATTTATTTTCTCTCAATTGTTATTTTTTGGGAATATTGATGAGTTTCAACATTTTACAATTAAACTATATCAGAAGCTAAGAGGGAAAAATCCCTTTTTGATGAAACTGCAAAAAAAAAGTATTAGACATTTGAAATTTGTCACAAAAAAACAAAAATGGAAATACTTGTTTAACAGTCAATAATGCGTTGTAGCCAATGCTATACATGATCACATGCTTTTTTATGTAAAACCATGACCTGAAAAATTACTAGTAACTATAGCTACTATAATACATGTAATTTTAATGTATGTATATTTTATCTATCTCTAAATAAGTGATCAATGATCATAGTAGTATCTTTACACAATTTCTCAATTTATAAAATATGTTAGGCAAGGTTAAGTGAATTGAGACAAAAGCGACATATTCTAATATTTATTATGTTTAGTTTAAACAATAAAACTGTAAAATAAAAACAAAGCTTGTATTGCCCACAACCTTACCAGCATTCCTCTTTTTCCTTGAGGGACATTGTTAATGTTATGGGGGGTGTGTAGCGTAACCTCCTCCTGTCCTGGTGTCACGTGACGCAGCTCTGGTCCTGATGCTGCTGTTACCGGGATTCAGTATGGGGAGTGATTAATGCCACTGAGCAACAGGATGAGAAGCAGCAGGAGCTCTGTCAGCAACATTGTGAACCATACAATTGTGTGTTACAAATTGTATACGAGGAGATATATACAATATACACGCTACATATAATTTTTGGAAAACAAATTCTAATTGTGATTTAGATGATGAAAACATTTATGTGTTGTAAATCTAAAATGTGTTTGCTTGCTTTTCATTGTCATCATAAAATGCAGCTGAGGTGCTAAGAACAGTATGTTTTCTCTTAACATGGATATATGTCTACTTTTCAGCTAGACCAAAAACCAGACCTGCAGCGTTCTGGATGGGCCCCAGGTGTACAGGCCTGAAACAAATAAAAGAAACCGTAGCTTCTTGAAACATATAGTCACTTCGGGCTAGTTTAGTAACATCAGTTAGTTGTTTATGCTAATAACTGTAATAACCTAAAGAAAACATGGCTGTAACAATAAACTAGTCTTTTGGTTATTTAGATATAGGCCTATAGTTAACACTAGAACCGCCAGAAGTTTTTGTATACCTAAAACCGCCACCTGGGTCAAATTGACCCGCTATTAGAATGCATTGATTTTCAAGGTAAAATGTTCTTTTATTGAACAGTGAGTTTTGATCGCACAGGGATGAAACGTATACCAATAGAATCTGTGGACTCTCAGCTTTCATATGACAGGGCTCGACATTATAAATGGCCCGCTGGCCCAGAAGCATTATTTAGACACCCCGGCCAGCATAACGTACTTTCAACTCGCCCCACAGCTGTTTGCGAGCAGTCTCCCGTGAGCGGGAGCGCACTCCTTCACTACAGTCTCTCTCTCTCTCTCTCTCTCTCTCAGCTCTCGCCTCTCTCTCTCTCTGTCTCTCGAGATCGCCTATCTCATCCTCTGTCTCTCTCTGTGTCTCCTCTGCCTCCCTGTCTCGGCTTCTCTCTCCGTCTCTCTCTCATCTCATCTCTCGTCTCTCTCTCTTCCCTCTCTCTCAGTCTCTATCCTCTCTCTCCTCTCCTCTG